ATAATTATACTGACGAACTTATTGAAGATTACAGTGAAGAGAAAATCAGTGAGTTAGTCAAACGGTTACTGCGCAGTTAGTAGTTGGAACATCTTTAAAAGTAGAAGGTAGAAGAGTTTTCAGTACTGGGGCAAATTAAGTCATAATCTACGGAGTAGAGTGTAGTGGATAGTGATACGATTAAAGATAAGGTTAGGTCAAATGAGCTTGGGGAAAATGGTTGGTTGGCTGAGTTTGTTATTGCTAGGTTTTCCTGGCCACTTTTCATATGGCATGCTTTAGACATTACAAAGTACCAGTTTGCTTATATTATGGAAGAACTATCACAACTAATTTGGGATTATACGTCCATGATAATTATAGATAGTCTTATGAGTTTATAAACCCGATTGATGAAATATTGATAAGATCTCCAATAAGCTGGATAACCGAACCTTAGATCAAGGCATGTGGGAGAAATTGGGTTGGTTTTATCACGTTTTAGGTGCGGTACTGTTGCTGGGGCAAATGAGTTTCCTCAAATTGGGGGTATTGCACTGGGGTCTGTAGTACCAAAGTTAGATGAACAGCCCATATGGGTAAAGTATGGATAAGTAGACCGAAGCTCTTTTGTTGACAAGAACTCGTTAAGGAGACGCTGGAATTCAGTGGGAGATCGGCAACTACGTACATTAAGTGGAAGTTCGTTCCGTAATGCACTGTACTGTATTTTGAAGAAACGTGATCGCAGTTTTGTCCGGTACCGGGTTATGCATACAGTATTTTCATGATTTCTAAGAGTATATATGGTTAAATTATTGAAAGCTATTGGATTACTGCTTTTGAGGTAGCCGTGTAAAAGGCGAAAAAGGAATGTAAGGTTGAGTTTCAGGCGCCTTAACCAAAGTGACTGAAGTCCGTTTATTTTGCACCTATCCGCGTAAGTCAGTCCTTCATGTTTGTGTAATAGGCGTCGTGTAAAACTTCGCTGAATATTTTCAATACGAACCCTGTCATACCCATTCATGAAACCGAAGACAATTGTGCAGTATTCAATTACTGGGCGAACCATGACTTTGTATAAAAGGACTTTAGCCTCAGTTGTGTACATTTTTCGATGTAACAAGCCTGTGAGTCTTTGGCATTTAGAAACAAGTGCTTTTGCATACTGACTGAATGTTAAGTTCTGTGAGTAGGTAACTCCCAGGTCTTTTATGGAATTGAGGGTTTGGAGAGAGGAGTCACCTAGGTGTAACCTGAAATTCGGGTGGGAGTTATTGAAATATAAGGCACCACATTCATCAGAATTGAATGGCAGTTGCCAACCAGTGCTCCAGTTATGTAACCTATCCAGATCATCTTGAATATGTGTGAATCTCTCGTTCAGTGTAGAATGGGGGAAGCTGTATACAATCTTTAAGTCGTCAACAAAGAGGTATGGGGTACCATGCTTGATTACGCTGCAGATGTCGTTAATGTAGATTACGAAAAGCAATGGACCTAGTACACTACCCTGAATTACTCCAATTCGTATGGGTCTGGGTGACGAGTAACTATTTGCAAATTTCACAACTTGGGAACGATCTTCCAAGAAAGAAATGAGCCAGGATAACAAGGGGTCCTGGAACCCGTACGACTTCAGCTTAAGGATTAGTCTCTTGTGTGGGACTTTATCAAAGGCTTTTTTGAAGTCAAAGAAGAGGGTTGTGACAAGCAAACCATGATCTCGCTTAGCGGTAACATCATCAAAGTAGTCAAGTAGGCAGGTGGAGCATGATCGACTTTTCAAGAAGCCGTGTTGTGCTGGAGTAAACAATTTGTGAAGGTGGAGGTATGAAGCAATATCTTGCCCTATAACTTTTTCCATAACCCTAGAAACTACTGACGTGATACTGATCGGTCGGTAGTTTTCGATATTAGAAGTTGGTCCTAGTTTGTGCCTAGGGGTTATAAACGACAGCTTCCAGCACTCAGGGTAACTGCCATTATTTAAGGACAGATTGAAAAACTTTAGGAGGATAATGGGTATGTCCTCACCACCTCTTTTCAACAAGATAGATGGAATTCCATCAGGTCCAGCTTTATATGATGTCCGGAGGGATGCTATAGAGGAGGAAATCTTTTGTTGGGTAAATGTTATATTACCCAAAAAGTGATATGGTATTATCGGAACATCAAGACCAACTACTGTTTCTTCGTTAGTAAAGTAGCTAGAAAAGTGGGAGCTGAATAACTGACATATCTCCTGTGGGTCTCCATCTAGTAATAAGTTAGGGATACTTATTCTGTTGTTGTTCAAACCAGTCCTATCTTGCATTTAACGTAGATGAACCACATATAAAACATACTCAAATATTGTGCAAGGTGTAAGAATGACTCATAAACCTTCTTAACGCTAAGAAAATACCCACAAGCAGTAGAAATCCATTAATTAATGCGTCCGAAGCTTATGTACTTGCAACAATGACATTGAAGATCAAATGAGATAAACACATCACTGATTTCAAAATAACACATCAATGAACTATAATTCGAGGACTCTGCACACAACAAAGTTATGTATGAATATTTACTTCAAGCTTTATTTTTTTCCCAGGCACTTATAATCCATCCACCAAAGACCTGGTTTTTTGTTAATGCGAAGACAATACTCCTGTATTTCCTGTTGTGTTGCACTCACTGAAAATCTAGCAGATTTTTCCAACTTAGCACAGAAATCATTGTATATAAGTGAAAAGGCTGTCTTATACTACTGGGATTAACATTTATCAAGTGTATGTATAATCTCCAGCGAACATGTAAAGCATATCTTGCTACTGCCTGTAAATTGTGATTGAATTATATGGTTCTATTTCTGTAACAATTTGATGATGCCTGTAAACTGGCGTCCCTCATGTACTGTACTATGAGAATAAATTTATTTATTTATTTATTTAGACGGCAGCATTTCGGTAATCGTCTGTTCATACTAAAGATTTCTCAAATTGATTGACCTATAGTGTCTGTTATGCATGCGAAAGACAGTTTTAGTTCAACTTGCAATTGGTTAGCATGGCTGTAGGTAAGAATCAGCATCACTGATCTAGAACAATTGTTTCGAAGGAGTTCGCAGGAAAAAGTCATGATGAAGGTAACGCGTCAGGAATTGGCTAGCTAGGATTCATTGGGAAATGATTTTGAAGATAAAAAGTAAAGACTTGAATGGATAGATTTCAAAGTAGCAATTCTATTTGGTGGGAGGGCGGAAAGTATAGGATGACATATAAGACAAGAAGGGGTGGAGCCAATACTGAATTCGATTCACCATGGGTTTCAATCTGCACAGATAAGTTAACTGGTCGCTGAAGGTGAGGAGGCTGAAGTTCGATTGATTTTTTGAACTTCTTTTATGCCCCTGAAGTCCATCGAAGAGACAATGATGCTACTCCAAATTGCATCCATCAGCATGCCTATGATGAAACTAAGTCACCTAGGGCAAAGCTGCTTCTAAATATTCTACGGTTCCATATGTTTGAGTGGAGTGAAATGGTTAGCACAACACTATTTCTCAGGAATCCACGGAAACGATGAGTCATTAATTCTGCACCAATGAAGCTAAATATCTTTTTCATTTCCAGAAGTGTGACAAGCGATGGACGAGTCAAGTTTCGCTGTCTAATATCAAGAAATAGCTGACTCGTTCTCGTGATGGTCTGTTTTACCTGAGACTCACGTAACTTCTGTTGGACAGTGGAACCTGTAGTGTACTACATATAATTCCAATTGAAATACTATAATGCACCCACTTTTCCATGTTCTATGATGTGCTAACGTTGTAAACAACTGTGTATCGAGAAGCATAAGCGAAAACATGAAAGGATGTACTGTTAACGAAACCAAATTTCGAGAAGCACGAAACGCACGAAAAAGTATATAACTATGGAAAATATATATGTAACGGACGACAAGTAATGTTCAATAATACAGTAGCAAATATTACCAGGTATGTGTAAATTTAGTTTCTGTAGATGTATAATATGCGTATATGAATCAGTTTTATGATTGTTCAATGAGAGTTGTTATAGTGGCGCTACAAACCTAAGACTTTAGTTATTACGCCCATTACGTTAATCCTTCTTCGATTATCACCTGAAAATCAATCTTGTCCCGCCTAAGTCTGAACTGTATACACTAGTCCGAAGGAACTGTTCTAGATCCTCATTTACTAATTAGTATTCAGCCTAACCGGCAAACTCTTCATTCCCACTTGACTCAAACATCTTTCGAGTCGAACTATAAAAGTGGTTGGTTATATAGAAATTTCACTTCATGAGGAAAATGGGAGATAGTAGTTTAGCATCTGGTAGGACAGTTATGCGTCTGAATTCCAGTTATGTACTGTTACTGTGTTGTTCGTATTACCGTTTTACTTTGCTAAAAGTGGCAATTTAAGAACGAAGCGCATGGTTTGTTTTCCAACAGATGGTGGGATATTTGAATACTCATTTATGTTTTGAAAGTATTTGTACTTGTTGATAACTTATTGATAAGTTTTACGTAGTATTCTCGAAGTCACACTTGTTTTCGCAGTGTTATAAACAGATACAACCCTTTTGAATCTTCTTACTATACATAACACCGCCGGTGAGCCAACTCATTCAGGTTGTTGAGTGTTCGTCTACCTACACGGTATCACATTTTAGCTTTGTAATTATGTCTGCTCGTATTAAAGTTCCTTGGCCATGCTATCCGTGTGCTGCTTATCCTTGTTGCTTCATGAGGCGCACAATCTTATACTTCTGTTTGCATAACCCCAACTACAATAGTGTTCACGTTCACTAATCTGACAAAGCAGGTAAATGAAGCTGAAGCCTCGCACAAAGGTGCATTAATTCAGTTCACCACACTTCTAGAGGCACAAAAGATATCAACAAACATAGGATAACGATGTTATGGGCAAACATACTTGTTGTTGCACCATATTGTCATGAATTTTTGACCGTTAATTCTGTATACCCTGCTCAAGGACTGCTCCATTGCTCATGACATCAGTCAGATACTTTGGGGACACTGCGACACTTCCTAACCGAGAGAATAAAGCATTAAAATACAGGCATAATGGAGCAGTATGTTGATATTTGTGTGTACGAAACTCAGCATACTAGCCTTATGCGTTTTCTAGTTGGAAAGTCTTCGTTCTTGAAGAATAACATCCTGATGGGTGAAATAAAGCACTTCACTACTGCACATAATGACTGGATAAAAACTATACCATCTCAAAATATGGACTACTCCACAATATCTATAAGTCAACTTGGAGTACTGAAGCAGCATAATCCTGATAGTTAGACACGCTTTCAGAAGGCATTAGGCGCCTGTGGAAAATTAATATATTGAGGTTTTAGCGATGCGTTTGTCGTCACCCATCAGTGTCACTTCATCAGGTGTATTCAATGAAATAACCTAAATAAACGCCTAAAATCTAGGAGATATGCAGTGTTTCTTGGAATTTTTCACTCTCATCCTTCTTGCAGTATGGAATCATTGCTTTTTATCGCAATCCTTTTGGAACCCGGATAGTATCATTTCTACCAATTCCTACCTTCACATTATGTCTACGGTGTGGTAACTTAGTCTGTTGCACAACAATTCTAGTCCGTGTATTGATATCGGCACCTAAGCCAACATGTTGGTTGTTAGGCCACACTTCTTATGTTAGAAATGAAATATCTTTAAATCAGTGTGTGTGTGGCTATGGGTTATTTTACAAAATCTTATGCAAGAAAATACACTCTAGTCTGAGTAGATGTTTCATGTATCAGGCTATAAGCCAGAGAGTTGTTGAGTGAAGGCTAATTCTGCTACGCAGTTGTTATCATAAGAATCTGCTTTTCCCAAAAACGGTCCATTTTTCTTGAAGTGAAAGTATTATTTGTCATGTATAAATTTGGAAGCATTGAATAGGATGTTACTGGAAAATTGTTAACCGAAGACTTTTCAAATTCATCAATTTCCACTGATTTATGTGGAATAGTTTTGAGGTTCATTTAACATCACTTTTAAGCAGTCTTAATACTAGTGTGCTCTCATCATTTTGTATTTCGTCAGGTGGAGCATTCAGGTGATTCATCTTCTGCAGTCGAGGACGATTGTTCAGCGACATCAGCTGCTGACGTGGATGGGTTTACAGCTCTTGAAGTTCCAGAGAAACATTCTGATGTAAGTACAATGACTCAAAAACTGTATTTTTAATCTTCATATGTTATTTTCCTTATTTCCTCTCTGTGCTCTCTATGCTCTGGTAATTTCTGACTTCACTGTTTCCATTTTCAGTCATCCTTCATACTGCTCATTATTTGGTGTACAAATATATTGTGACAGCTGTGATATGTTCTTATGTCGATAACATCTGTATATCTTCATGTTTCAAATATTTGTGTGAGGATGATATTCATCTTAAAAAGACAGGAATAGTTAGAATTATAAATTAAATTCCGCGTAATAATTGTCGCTTCGTCCAAGTGGCTAGCATAGGTTTGGTTGGTTTGAAGTATTCAGGCTTCCTCAGCCGAGTGTAACGAGTATACCACTAATAAACTCGGCCTGAGACCAGCAAAATGGCCATCGGATGTCTAAATAACTTCGATCTGGCTAGCGAGCAGTACTAGTTGATGTTAGACGTCTCCAAATTACTGATATCAACTGCAGTATATAATACCTTTAAAAAAATATTTGGTTCAGTTTGCTGATAATTGGGTTGTGTTAGTGAGATATGATAGGGTATACTAATAATTTAATGTGGATAGTCAAGAAATGGGCTATTAGTCACAGGATAGTGTTTTATTTTCTCGCTTTCCTCATTGTATTTTCACACTCCTTATGAATACTCCTATAGCTTCTGTGTTGTCCATTTTTAAATTTTTGAATCGAAGAATCTCATCTAAATCCATAGGATAAAAGAAGTATGATATATATTACAATGAGATATTCTACTTCCAGGTTTAAATTTTTTGTCTTATTTTAGAGCTGTGTAATGCGAATAAAAGCTAATAAAACCCAATGGCCAACGGTGACTGACTGGTTTCAACATAGAACTTTGCATCAATGTGCAGCAGTTCAAGTCGCCACACTCCATGTAGCACACAAAGCAGGAGAAGAAAGTAAACGGAAATGCAAAGTAGTGACAGTAAAGAGATATGAGGCAAAAAGAATAGTAATATCAAAGAACAATATAGTTTCATTGGATATTATAAGTCACAAGGAGTGGATGCATCTGCGCCATTGTGAACAATTTGAAGCCATATCACCAATTGTCTCTGGCTATTGGTTTCTACCTTCCCGAGGATCCCAACCAGGATGTCTGCATCTCCCTATGTGGCTGGCTTAAAATAACTCTTGTGGATTTCATTGAGTGATGGTGCCATGTTTTGGTTTGACCACCACTATCTCTTTTCCAGCCTGATCCTATGTCAGCTAACATTGCCCGTCGAGGAAGGCGATGGCCAGGCTAGGCATGCGTAACACATGTCCTAACCATCTCAGTCGATGTAACTTCACAGCCTTGTCTATTGATTTCCCCTCTTTACCTAGCACTTGGCGCCTAAACTCAATATTGGTCACCCCATTATACCACTTTAAATGGGAGATGGCCAACCGTATGCTTACGGATATACTTTTTGTAAGCCATCAAGGCTGATTTCCTTCAAAAATGACGTAGGTGAAGGTATCTGAAGACATTTTAAACTATAGATGTTTATCCAACTTTTCTCTATCCAGGAATTTAAAATATCACTTATTGTAAATCACATATGACCTAGTTTTCATACTTACTACTGGTCAACTCCTTGTTGGTTTTTATTTTAATTACTACCATTAGTGCACATATCTATACAATGTCCAGTGTTGATGCGTTAGTCATAGTATTGCGTTAGCCTTATTGTGTTTTTTTATTGTTTACATAATCATTTAAGGTGGATGACGTCAGTGATTCACCTCCAGATGTTGATGTTGACAGTACTTCAGCGACAGGAGATTTTAATGTGAAGGAATGTGTTTCTGAAAAAGTTGCTGAGAAACATTCGAATGTAAGTCATTCAGTCAGTCAATTGATCAATCACCTGTAGATTTATGTATTTCGTTATGCTTTTGTAATGTATTCCTTCATAAATGTGTGTTTGATTATTTGACTCGTTGTTCTGACCACTGGGGACTACCAACCACCTGGGAGACGAGTCCGAACTCTGCTCCTTTCTCCAAGGTTGAGGCAGCTAGGTAGTCATACTAGGCGTCAGACAATAGGATTAGTTCACTGGTAGTTCTATGGAGATGCAGGGTGTTGTTAAACATTAAGCAACTTGAAAATTCCCATTGAGTCATGTAAAAGAAAAGGTTTTCAGCGAAAAGTTACTCTTTTCGGCGATATCATTCTCAAGCTGTACAATAGCGCATATGTAATAAATTTTCTTAGCAACAAAAGGAATATTTCCGAAGATGTGTCGTTAGAATTGTAAATTTCAGATAACAAATTATGTAACGTAGAAGGCATTAACCGGGTGGAAACTAAAGCGAAATTATATAGGTCGATTGACGTAATGTAATTGGAGGGATGGGATGGAATACAACCGAAATTGGACTAGTCAGGTTAACAACAGTGGTAATAAGGGGTGAAGATTTAATTATTATTATTATTTCCTTTAATTCCTAGAGGAACATAGGGCTTCAGCCGTGCATCTCCATTGCGTTCGGTTCTCTGCTAGAGTTTTCACCTGGCTCCACGTCTGCCCACACGTTTTCATCTCCTCTTCACATGACCTCCTCCATGTCACCCTTGCACTGATGAACAACTCGCCGCTTCCCTTTCAGTCGGGTTACACTCGAGCAATGGCTTGTCTAGTGATGTCACTCACTTGATGGTTTGTTTCCTCAGAGTATGATAGCCAGCCAATCAATCCATCTCCATTTCTTCATGCCTGCCTATTTCTTTCACAATCGGTTCCTGCTGAGTTGGTTCGCTCATTGCCAGAGATCTCTGTTGCCGATCTTTTCTGGCTGGCCATCTGATCTTGAGTGGTATTGAGCGAAGACAACTGTTAATGAAGGTGTGTAGTTTGTTTGAGATGCTGTTCATGACGCGCAGTGCAAGTCTCTGATCCGTATAGTAGCACTGACTGACTTCACATTGGAGTTGAAAATCCGGATCTTATCTTCGTTTTGATGCTGAGTGCTGTCGACCTCCACACAGACTTGAGAGTAGTGAAAGCTTATCTTGCTTTTCCAATTCTCCCTGTTTTGATATCCTCGTCAGTTCCACCTGTAGTTGAAACGAATGCTTCCCAGGTAGGTAAAAGAGGTTGTTTCTTTGTATAACTACATATTAATGCCAAAATGAGATTTTATATTCAGGTGTCTGACAATCTTATCTAAAGTAAATACCCTTTAGTGTTTGATCAGAGATTATTCACATTGAGCTTTCAAGTGATATCCAGCCACTTCATAATTCTACAGATGTCTACTTTAACACATCATGTACAAACTGGTTTATTATTTAACAGGAAAAGCGTTTAGCGAAGATTTACGCTTTTCGACCATATCATTCTTAAGCTGTACAATTGCATATATGTAGTAAATTTTCTCAGCAATAAAAGGAATATTTCCATGGATGTGTCATTAGAAATGTAAATGTAGAATGCGTTAATCGGGTAGAAACTAAAATAAAGTTATATAAGTAAGCTGGAGCCAGGTGAAAACTCTAGCAGAGGACCGAACGCAATGGAGATGCACGGCTGGAGCCCTATGTTCCTCTAGGAATTAAAGGAAACAATAACAATAATAATAATATTCACTACACGGAGTATTCTCATCGATTTCTTCACAGAGAACGACAGTTCAATGCGTTAGTGTGCTGCATTACTCTGAAAAATCTCTAGCTAGTAAACTACTGATGTTTGCTTGTGGGTTTCTTTGGATCCTTTCTGGTGTTCGTTACCTTCAGTGGCCAAATAATGAACACAGGCTTTCTGATAGTCAAGGTAAAGCATCTAGAAATTCTGTAAGCCTGTGCCTATCATGATATCCGAAGTATGTTTTGATTGCACATGCAAACTTAATCAGGATGCATAGTGTCACTTAAAGTATAGGAGTAACAGAGCTATCTGAGTATTCGGAGTAGGAGATACCATTACTACACAAGGTTCGTTTATTTGAACTGTATATTTCGTAACTTGCATCTGCATAATATTTGAAACCAGTAATTTCATACGGATGATAAGCATAAACTCAATATTTGTACAACTTGTTAGGTTAAAAGGCAACATAGGTACCAATTAGTACAAAAGACGACATATTTGGCTAATACCAGTTGTTTGCAAAACTGTTAACAAATTGGAAAGATAAGACACGGATGTATTTGCTTCACTGTTGTCTGTTCTCCGCTTGTTAATTCCGATTATCCTTTGAAATTCACCGAAATGTTCTGCTCTTCCAGGAGTGAATGAAACTGACAGTTAAAGACTTTATCGATTCGCTTTGTTTCTTATTTTGGTTCCCCTTAGACTTCCCTCGAGATAATCCAACTTTGGCTAACTTTTCACTTTAGAAAAAGCTCTGAGTATGTTTGCACGAACCAAATTCCACCTTCATAAAAGCCTAAATACTTTTTGACTGCACCTGGTCATTAGTTTACTTTTTGTGGAGTAGCATGCCTGATTGATTCCCCTGAAAGTTGAAGTGTTTGAAGGTATTTGAAGATAAATTTCTCCAACTCTTTTTTAGTGTTATTATTGTTTCCTTGGGTTCCTAGTGGAACATAGGGCTTCAGCTGCACGTCTCCACTTGCTTCTGTCTTCTGCTGTACCTTTTACTTGCATCCATGTTAATCCATACTGTTTCAGCTCCTCTTCACACGATCTCCTCCATGTCACCCTTGCACTAACGTCCCACTCGCCGCCGCTACCCTTTCGGGTTCCACTCGAGCTATGGCCTGACACGCGATGTCACCCAGCGAGTGGCCTCCTCAGCCAGTGAGTGAGTGTCCAATCCATCTCCACTTTCTCCTGCATATTTGTTGAGCGATTGCTTCTTGTTTTGTTTCTTCCCATAGTTTGTTTCTTGTTGGTTCTTGTTCTTTCCGGCCATCTGATCTTCAGTATAGAACGAAGACAGTTGTTGATGAAGGTCTGCAACCTGTTTCTCCAACTCTTTACCATGTCGGAATATTCTATGTAAATATTGTATGAACTGTTTAATTCAATTTTAGATTTTCCTTTTGGCTGATGAAGAATGCTCTGACACCGAGTGGAGTGGAGGCTCACCAGTTGAACTTCGGTGGGTGGAAACTCGCGAAGGACCCTAATCGGGTCCTCTCGGGCGTGTAGTTTTTGTCAGTGGAAAGGCCTCATGGTCCTCCCATTAAAATTGGCCCTCTAGTGGTCCAGTGGATAACGCTTTGGCGTTTGAAACTATGGGCGCTCTGGGTTAGAGCCTCGGTGGGAACATCATCACTCACTGGGGGATGCAGGTACATCCATATGACGAGTCCCAAATAGGACGAAATGAGCATACTGGATTCCACTGCTAGTCACCATCCACCAATTAACTTCTAAGTGTATGAACCAGTTTTTATGCTTATTACTGGTTAGTTTTCATTTTTAATGCTCATAATGGTGAATATATCTATGCAAGGCTTGATGCTGATGTGTTAGTCACAGTGGTGCGTTAACCTTATTGCATATTTTTATTGCTTCCATTATTATTTAAGGTGGATGACGCCAGTGATTCACCTCCAGATGTTGATGTTGACAGTACTTCAGTGACAGGAGATTTTAATGTGAAGGAATGTGTTTCTGAAAAAGTTGTTGAGAAACATTCGAATGTAAGTCATTCAAGTTAGTCAACGAATCAATCACGTTTAAATTTCCGTCTTTAGTTATATTCCTGTAATGTTTTCATTCTGGACTACAAGTCACTGGATGGATGGTCCGAATCTCATTCTAGTTTCCGAAGCTCAGTCGGCCAAGTAGTAATACTAGCGATCACACAACGTGTCTAGCTGATTGTCAGCCTGATCGAAATTCAATTGATTTTTGAGTATTCAATTCGTTCATACATGATGTTTCAAACTTCAGATATGTAGGGTTATAGAATGGACGTGTGTTATTTAATTCACGTCTCTTACTGACTCGCATGCTTAGAGGAACTCTATCACGCAAATATGAAAACGGTTCACGTGAATACTATTCTCCACTGTTCTCAACCAACAGTGGGTTTAGACAGGGTTGCCTAATTTGTCCATTTCTCTTTAATTTTGTCATTGATGACATTGCAGAGTCACTTCTGAAGGACTTCTGTGGTGATGGTATAGATCTTCTTGGAGATATACTTTTCGACCTCTAGTATGCAGACAATATCATCTTATTGTGTAATAGCATGCAAGCTGCCCAAATCTGACTTAATCACTTGGAGATTTGTGTCTGCCTGTCTGGCATGTGTTTTGCGCCGTCTTAGTGAAAAATACAGATGTAAGATTACTTGGAGCCTGTATCTGCACTAACCCTTGCAGGTGAACCACTTGAAGTTGTTGATAAGTTCCTGTGTCTGGGTAGTTGCGTGAGTACTGGCTGTGTGACGGATGAGATCTGTCACCGTACAGTGAAAAGTAAGGTGGCATGCGGCAATTTGTGCCATATTTGGCACTGTCGTGACGTCACTCTCGCTGTCAAAGATAGAGTGCTGGTCTTGCCCTACGCTTGTGAAACCTGACCACTCCGAGCTGAAGATGTGTGGTGACTCTGCGTATTCGATCATCACTGTCTTCGTAGAATTTCTTGCATCCGATGTCTTCATTGTGTCAGTAATTCTGAGGTCTGGCAGCGTGTGTTTGGACACAGTGGAGATCACCACTCACTAAGTGTTGTCACCTGAAGACACAAACTTCAGTGGTTTGGATGTGTGCTTCGGATCTTATCTCAAAGGTTTTCGTATCGGTTTCTGTTCGCCAGTCGTGGGAGTAGATAGAAAAAGTGAAGAGATGGTCAAGCTATGACATGACACTATGGGATGAAGGACACCTGCGTTACGTTGGCATCCGTCAGTGCGTCACGACTCCCTGATTGGGGATAGTTCGAATCGGTGGCCCCAAACGTTACTACATATTGCCAAAAATCTCAATCAATGGTGCACATGCTGAAATTTCCTTCTTTATTCCTTTTCTGACAATAATACGATGAATGTTATTTGATCTTGTCAAGTATACTTGCTTCCTTCCTGGTTGATAACCTTTACTCATTCTCTCCCTATCTTCTTTATATTTTGTTGTCCTAACATTATTGTTGTTTAGACTGTTTAGTCCATAACTCACTTAGATAGCTGGCTCATAATTATCTCATCCCTGTCCTAATGAATTATTTTACCCATGATATTCTTTGTCATCTTCGTGCTGTTGTATATCTTGACAATTTGAATAGGCTCATTATCTTTGCGATATGCTGATGGAAGTATCTTTAACTAAACTTAACGACTTACGAATCGACTTGTTACCAGGGAATAGTCTTATGGACTTAGAATATGCAGATGATATAGTCCTGTTAGGGGAGGATGCTGACAAAGTGCAGAGTCTTCTGAACACCTTGAGCAGCAATCTTCGTATGTTTGGCATGCGATTCGCCCCTGTAAAATGTCAGGTGCTGCTACAGGACTGGACTACATCAACTCCTAGCTTAGTGATAGGGAGTGAAGTGATAGAACATGTTGACCACTTCACCTATTTGGGAAGTTGTATCAGCACCAACGGATTGATTGGTGAAGAAATCTCAGAACGGATCCAAAAAGCTCGGGCTGCTTTCGCTAACTTACACCGTCTCTGGCGTAGGCGTGACATCCGGCTATCAACCAAGGGACGTGTATGCTGCTCACTAGTTCGCTCCGTCCTTCTCTATGGCTCTGAAACATGGTCAACACGAGTTTAAGACATGAGAAGGTTGGCGGTTTTTGATCATAGATGTCTACGATCTCTTTCTCACGTTAGGTGGTATAATAAGGTAAGTAATGTTGACGTCAGGCGTAGAGTGTTGGGCAAAGAGGGAAAATCAATCGACGAGGCTATAAAGTTACATAGATTGAGATGGCTAGGTGACGTGCTGCACATGCCTAACCATCGCCTCCCCCACCCCGACGGGCATTACTAGCTAGCTGATATATAGGTGCAGGTTGGAAAAGAGTAAGTGGTGGCCAAACAAAAACATCGCATCAACCAATCCATGAAATCCTTCCTTGACAGTTAAACTGAGTCAGGTAGGGAGATGCAGACTTCCGGGTTGGTCGGGGCCCTCGGGACTCTAAGAATCAATGTCTGGAGATAGACAATAGGTGACATGGCTCAAAATCGTTGTCAATGGCTTACGCAGATGTATTCAGTCTCTTTAACCTTTCATATTCCTTTCTATCATTACTCATTCTGTTTCACTCTTATACTTGTCAAAACTCTATTGATTCTCTTCACTCATTTTCTTGTCTACCTTTGTGTGCTAATTGGAACGTGGCAACTGGAACTGGTGCACTTCAGTGACAAGTTCTATGTTGAATCCAGCAGCAGCTTTGCGAGATTCTCTTGATAGGCATACGCTAAAATGTAAAAACAGAATTCACTTCACCTTTAAGTAGCAAAAGTATTCAATCGATAAGTAAACATTTCAATGAATAAATTCTCATTTACAAAATTACACAGCTCAGATGGTTTGAACTAGTTACAGCAGTGATGACCTCATCCACAAGCCCCATTTAGCATTTAAATTACTTCACAGTATAGCTGACAAACACTGCTAGAGTTGACGTGAGTGGTTCCAAAGTAATCAATCATACCAATCAGTAATTATATACCAACAGAGTCGAGAAATTGCGATTTCAATCTATTTTTAATGGCGCTGCATCGATATGCTTGACTCGCTAGCGAGTTTCTCCGTGTGATTTCTCATTTAAATAGTGTTTTTCTGTTGAAAAGAAATACAAATACAAGGAAACAAATGAGAGATGTAGTTTTAGGTAAGAGCAATAGTTTTCAAATAATGCTAGTGTAAACATGTCGGTTCGGTCGGTTTTCAGCATAGAACTTTGCACATATGTGCCGCAATTCAAGTCGCCACACTCCCTCCTTGTAGCACACAAAGGAAGAGAAGAAAGTAGGAGAAATGCATAATATAGACAGTAAACAGAGGTGTGGTGAGACAAAGGTATAGTAATAACGAAGAACAAAACAGTTTCATTGGAAATCATAAGTCACAAGGAGTGGATGCATCTGCGCTAGCCACTGACAACGATTTTGAGCCATGTCACTGATTGATTCCAACCATTGGTTTTTGCCGTCTGGAGGACCCCAACTAGTCAGGAATTCTACACCTTCCTACGTGGCTGGCTTAAACTAACTGTTGTAGATTTCATTGACTGGTGCCATATTTTGGTTTGACCGCCGCTAGCTCTTTTCCAGCCTGACCCTATGTCAGCTAACATTGCCCATTGTCGAGGAAGGCGATGGCCAGGCTAGCCATATGTAACACATGTCCTAACCATCTCAGGCGATGTAATTTCACAGCTTCGTCGACTGATTTCCCCTCCTTACCTAGCACTCGACCGAAGCCTAACCTCAATATTGCTCACCTTATTATACCACTTCACGCGGGAGATAGAACGCAGACACCTATGATCAAAGACAGCTAATCTTTTCATGTGTTTTGCTCTCAATGGCCAGGTCTCACAGGTAGCCATAAAGGAGGATGGAGCGGACTGATGAGCAGTACACACGCCCTTTGGTTGATAGTCGGATATCACGTCTACTAAACCAGAGACGGCGTAAACTGGCATATGCGAACCTAGCCCTCTGTATTCGTGCTGAGATTTCGTCAGAGATCAACCCGTTGGGGCTGGCTGATGGTACTTCCCAAGTAAGTGAAGCGGTCAACGTGCTCTACCACTTCACTTCCTAAACATGAATAATATTCCCTATCGAAAATATAATTCCAATGTGTTGTTGTATACAATAAATGTCAGTTTTCATCAGTCTATATGAAACCATACAGTATGCGGTTGTAACATTTCACACAAACTGTTGTTTCATATGTATTATCTTTGCAAAGTTTTGTCTCTTCGTTCTTTTAGATTTTACCCCTTGATCTAATCGATAGTGAATCAAGTGATGATGACCATGATGAGTATCAAGCTGACGCTTCTCCACCTTTAAATCAAGCAGATGATGATGATGAGTCTGAAGAAGACGCAGAACAGTTCATAAAAGGAGAAGAAGAACAAGAAGAAGAAGAAGGAGCAGCAGCAGAGGATGATGAAGAGACAGAAGAACAAGTTGGTCGTTGGACGTATAGCTCTGTAAGCAACCCTTTTTTTAAAAAAGAAAAAGTTATTCTAATTTCACTTTAGGGTGCAGCAAAAAAGAAATCAAAAACTATCTCAAAATCTAAAACATCCGCTGGTTCTAAACCAGGTTCTTCTAGTTTAGAGGAAGAACGACTTCAGATTCATATTGAAACACAACGTCTTGTACGAGGTTAGTTTGATATTATTTTTCGTCATCGTGATTACCATTCATTCTTTGTTTTTTTGTTTTGTTTTTCCTTTAGAAGCAGATATACGTTTACCAGTGCATAGACCTAAACAGTTTAAATGTTTCAGTGAATTTCGTCAATCACTGAAAGGCATCACGGGAAGTGAAAGCAAAGGCTGTGAATCTTCTTCTCAGACTACGTAAGTGCTATTTAATATCTTCTATACACAGATTTTTAATTTTTACCTACTTTATCGTGGAAGTGCAGTTCCATTGCATTAAGTAACCTGGCTTTCAGATAAACATCTTGGGTTCGAATCTCATCCGGTCTGCTTCAACCGGATTTTCAACTCCAATGTGAAGCCAGTCAGTGCTACTCACTATACGGATGGATCAGAGACTTGCACTGCGCGTCATAAAGAGCATCTCAAACAAACTACACACCTTCATTAACAGTTGTCTTCGCTTAATACCACTCAAGATCAGATGGCCAGCCAGAAGAGATCAGCAACAGAGATCTCTGGCAATGAGCGAACCAACTCAGCAGGAACCGATTGTGAAAGAAATAGGCAGGCATGAAGAAATGGAGATGGGTTGGCTGGCCATACTCTCAGGAAACAAACCATCAAGTGAGTGACATCACTAGACAAGCCATTGCTCGAGTGGAACCCGACTGAAAGGGAAGCGGCGAGTTGGTCGTCAGTGTTTGGGTGGGTGACTTGGAGGAGGTCATGTGAAGAGGAGATGAAAGCATATGGGCAGACTTGGAGCCAGGTGAAGACCCTAGCAGAGAACGGAACGCAATGGAGACGCACGGCTGAAGCCTTATGTTCCAGTAGGAATTAAAGGATACAATAATAATAATAATAATAATAATAATAATAAGTGTCTTGGTAAATGAGAAATCTGTTCTGGATAACTGTAGGCTGACTGTACACTTGACTGAATAATATGATGTATTTGTGTTCTGTATGTGTGTGTACATCAAATTTGTCAAACAAAATTACAATTAGTAAGTTCAGATGAATTGGATGTTGATATAAGAGGGTAGTAACAAAAGTGATGAGTTGTCACAAACGATTGTTAAAGAAGAGTTACGTAATAACATGAATAGTTTAATGAAAGAGTTGTACTCAGGGTGTACATGGAAACAAAATATACGGAATTACACAAGGGTTTTGAGTAGGAAAATAAGCTTACGAGCAAAAGTTAAGTCAAATCAAACAAACAAACAAAGAAAAGTTAAGTCAAATCAACACAGTTGTTACCATGGGAGTAGAAGTGGTTGAATAATTTTCTTTTGTATTCAAAGTTCTGGTTCCTCTAGCCTAATGACTAGGGCTTCTGCTATGCAAAGAAGACGGAATCGTACTGTCTTTGGAAGGTTGTTCTTCACTTTGTAGATTACTTTGAAGGAGGAGTTTGTTGAGATGGAATGGCCAGTGTTGACGAGGTGTTCTGTTATTGCACTCCTTATGCAGCCATTACTTCCTTTCTGGAGCCACGCTGGATAGTGTTCTTTGACAGGATACGCGTTGAACGACCGATGTACCTGGCTGCACAGCAACAGGTGAACTGATATATACACATAGAAGTGGTCAGGTACGGGATCTTGTCTTTTGGGCTTCTGCAGATCAGCGGGCGACTAAAGAACACTACTCTACTACTATTTGTGTTCACTTGTGATTATCTTTTGGTTATTTATTATGAAATTTTAATTTTGTTTTTAAATTTCAGATCACTTCCAGACTGTTGTAGTGAAACGCAGGCTAATTCAGAACAACAGCCTACTCAATGTGATCCAGTGGAGTGTAAGACACTGGACATTAAGCCTTCTATCTCACATGATGATCCAATTGATAATCCTCCTCTCCAATCAGTTGACATGGATTGCAGTATTGCCGAACCCACACCATCAACATCATCGTCGGTAGAAATAAAACCAAAACTTCCTCTTATAAGTGAATCAGATAAACTGATGAATATACTTCCTTCCCTTAGCACAAGAAGTTTATTCAATGATAATAATGAAGAGTTTTACATCGATTTAGGTATGAATAGGTTGGTTTTTTTAGAATTATTTTTGATCTTGTCCATACTGTTTGTGTTTGTTTCTTAAAGACTCGGTCATTGTTGATATTTGAATGTGGTTCTCTGTCTCACTGGTCTAGACGATTGGCTATCTATCACCAACCGAAGGGTCAGGAGTTCGAATCCGGCTCCAACTACCGATGTTTGGACAGTCAGATGTTAAGTAGTATGATTAGCCCTCAGATATTAGGTATGACACGTTGATGACTACTTCGAAATGCAAGTGTTTGTAATATGTGATTATTGAGTACAAACCATACATGCTTGTGTTCCTTCACGTTCCTAGTGGAACATAGGGCTCCAAGCTAGAGGCTTGAAGTTTCTGTAGCAGTGTTTATTTTACAGGATGGGGTTGCTAGCCTCATACCCAACCTCCCCTCTTTACCAGTCTTCTTACTGGCTTAGCGAGGTAAAGGAGTGCGTTGGCAGGGGTTCGAACCCCGGACCTTGTGCATGGTCGGCGAGCGCCTTAACCGCTTAACCACCGACGCACAAGCATACATGCTGATATATATATATATATATATATCCACTACTTTTAGCTGATGTTCTAAGCTTCCATCCATCACTAATGTCAGCTCATGATGAAATCCTGAAACCAACCAATCAAATCCTTACAAACCAACACTTGAATATCAATGAGATGCTCACTAGCGACTGGCCGTATTTAGGTAGGTAGTTACCTGGGGTTCTAGTGAGAAGTCGTGACCAGTAGGTTGCAGCAGGTCGGGTGTGAGGACAAATACTCGCCAAAGACATTGGCTAGCGGTTGGGCTATATCGTGAATTGGCAGAAGTTAGAATTCATGCTCTGGCCATTGTATCGGGTCCCAGTAGCTTAATGGTATACGAGCTCGCCAGCCTTGTAACGAGAAGGTCCTGGGTTCGAACCCTGGCGGTGGGTGCGTACTGATGAAAAGTCCCAAACTAGGACGAAACAGCTGTCCAGTACTCCCAGCTGGTTTTCCAATGGTTCTCATGATTAAATCCTGAAATCAATCGAATCCCTACAAACCAACACTTGAAAATCACTAATGGACTTACATACTAAAATTTCAAAAACTACAGTCGAACACTTGAGGCCAACTTCGGCTATGGAGTTTTGGGTTTATCAATTTGAGTACTGTCATCTGTGATGCGTCAATAAATGTTTAGCAGGTTTCGATGAATATTCCCCTATATCTTAGCAATTTCTTATTGACTACAGAATTCAAGACCATCATCTTATGGATAACAAAATATCAGAAGATTTATAAGTCCATCATTTTACTGAGATGAATTATTGTGAAATTATTGTTCACTGATCAGGTTGTATTATTATTTTTAATGAGTGAAAGTCCTTGTTCTATCTGTGTCTCTTCCCCCCACCTTCCTTTCATTCCGTTCTTGTGAAGTATCATTTCATTGGTATTTTTGCAAGGGGCAATGATAAGGTCCCAGAAATACCAACAACATCACGTACACAACTACAAGTTGACACCGATCCTCCAACGAAAGCTGAAGTCTTGAATGCCATCAAGCTTCTGAAAGCTGGAAAAGCAGCTGGACCAGATGGAATACCCCCGGAAGCACTGAAAGCGGACCCGGAGACGACAGCAGATATGCTGACTCCATCATTGCAAAAGGTCTGGAAGGAGGGAAAGGTGCCTACTGACTGGAGGATAGGTTACCTCGTGAAACTACCAAAGAAAGGCGACTTATGCCTCACTCTGCAAGAACTGGCGAGGAATCATGCTCCTGTCGACGCCAAGTAAAATCCTGAGTCGCATCATCCTGAAGAGAATAAAGGACGCACTGGATACAGAACTCCGACCAGAACAAGCTGGATTCAAGAAAGGCAAATCATGTTCTGACCAAATTGCAACTCTACGCATCATCATCACAGAACAAAGCATGAAATGGCAATCAAAGCTCTACCTCAACTTTATAGACTTCGAGAAGGCCTTCGACAGCGTTGACCGCGAAGTTATCTGGAAACTACTCGACTACTATGGCGTACCCCAAATATTCATCAACCTTATTCAACAGCTGTACGACAACGTCACATGTCAAGTGATCCACAACGAAAAACTCAGTGAGGCGTTTGGAGTAAACACAGGAGTCAGAAAAGGGTGCTTATTATCACCAATGATATTCCTAATTGTGGTGGACTGGACTGGATTATGCGTCAGACAGTGGGAAACGAGATGACAGGGATATCCTGGACCAACGTGAAGAATCTAGAAGACCTGGATTTTGCGCGTGGATGATTTATGTTTGATGTCACACAAAATCGAAGACTTACAAGCGAAAACCGACAAACTGGTCGAAGAAGCAGCTGGAGAAGACAGGACTCAAGGTGAACATGGACAAGACGGAGGTTATGAAAATAACCAACCAGCAACAACAAAAACAGTATGGATTAACATAGACGCAGGTGAAAAGTATACCAGAAGACAGAAGCAAGTGGAGACATGTAGTTGAAGCCCTATGTTCCACTAGGAACCCAAGGGAACAAAAAAAATGATAAGGTCATACATCTGAAATATTTTCAATGCCAAATACAAAATCACTAAGTAACAGAATAGAGTCATATCTGGCTTCGGATTGTGTAGTTTGTAATCGCCTAATTAGTTAACCCGAATTCAAATAATTAATTAGTCTCTAATTGAGAGCAGTCAGAATTCATAGGCCATTGGATTCCTTCCCAGTAGCTGAATTCTCAGTTGTATACTGTTAGGCATTCACATATGTAAACATACTTTTAGGTATGGTCAGCTAATGTATACTCCAGTGTGAATTTTGTCACCAACCAATAGCAGTTATAAAGATCATTCAAAATCAGATAACACTTGAGAGGTGTTTCACCCTACTTTAGTTTAGGACTCTTCAGGACTGCACATCCATAATCTCAGCAAGGATAGAAACCCAAGTCAAACCCAATGCCAAAGTTGTTAACCACTCATCCATCCACTTGGACTGGAATTCAGTGATCCATGAATTTTAACTTCTGTCAATCCGTACTATAGCGCCATCCCTAACTAACGCTCTCGATGAGCACCCATTCTACTTTGATGTGGTGGGCCTCACTGCCCTCACTGACTTCTCAGTACAGCTTCGGGATATCCATC